CTACAGGGGGGGGCGGGGGGGGACGCCCGGCGCGGGGGGCCGGCGCACGGGGGCTCGCTCGGGGCTGCTCCCCCCCTCGGCCCACCCCTTGCCGGGAGAGGGGCGCTCGCCCGTCGCAGGCAGATCCGGGCAGAGCCCGGCCGTTCCCGCCCTCGCTACACGCACCGATGTCTTGGTCCGGCGCTGAGGCCGCGGGTCCGAGAGGCGCGAAAGCATTTCCCCAGGTCTGTGCCCCAGCCCGGTTATTGCCAGAGGTAGGTGTGAACAGTGCAGAGAAGACACGAATTAAAGCAGCTCTTCGTTACCCCACCACCCCAGAAGCCCACAGGGTCTCTCCCCTCCCGCGCTGGCTCTTCCCATGGCACGGAAAGCTCCTGCCGCGGTGCGGCCGGCCCTGCCCCGGGCAAACGGGGGGATCGGGGCACCCTGTGCCTGGGCTGGCCTTGCACCGGGGCACCCGTGAAGCGTGGGGGCTCAGGGGGCCCAGAGCAGACGGAGCTGGGAGAGGAACCGGCTCAGGCCCTTTCCCCAGAGAACATCGCTCTCTGCTCCCTGCAAAGGTCTGAAACAGCCCAAAAACCAGCGCCAGGGACTGGGGTGTCCAAGTCCCCGGGGGTGTCCAAGGCTCCGGGGTCCGGCCAGCCCCAGGGCAGCCGAGGGGACGGCCACGCCGCAGGCAGGGAGCGGGGGTGGGCTCCAGTCCCTGCAAGGCGAGCCAGGCGCCGATGGCTCCGGGGACGCCCGGGGAGCAGCTCTGCCGAGTGCCAGCGCCCACTGCCCCGCGTTTGGCCCATCGGCAGCTGGACAGGGAGAGGCCCGAGACCCCTCCCCGTCCCACCGACGTCCCCCGAGCTGGACACCCGCAAGGGGACAAGCAACAGGCAGCGGAGTCACGGCTGCCTCCCGGGGCAGCGCCACTGTGGCAGGAGAGCGCTGAAATACGGACCAAGAGACACTGCAGCTGTCAAACGCGGACCGGCCGGCGGGACGGCCCGGAAGGCTGCGGGAGCAGGGACCGAGCCCTTCGTTACCAGCCTGTGCTTCCCTGACGCAGGACAGGTGAGAAATGAAGCAAAGCTCCGTAAACTCCCTTCCACGCGTATCGAGGAGGAAAAGGGAAGGGAAGAACCTACCGAGTGACTGCAAAAGGACTTTGAAAGGGGTCTTGGAGAACTTGGAAATCTTTAAAGCTAAGAGAGCGCCTGCTGAGACAGAGCACGTGCGTGCCCACAGACACAGACCCACACGCCTAACATCCACGACCCCGGAGAGGGCGAGGAACGCTCCCTCCGGAGCCAGGGAGGTCTCTGACCGGCAGCACTGCATCCTCCTTGCAAACAGACGCCGTTCCTTAACGCCCAGCCCTGCCCGAACACCAGCTCGCGGCTTGCTGCTCTGCGCTCGCACTAAATCCCAGCCCGTGACGGAATCCAGCCCGACGCCTGCAGCATTTAACGAGATTTCCTGGACACCAACAGGTTTGGAAAGTGCAGGGAAGCATCACGAGGCCCGGCCATACCTTCCGCCATGGGCCTGGCCGCTCCCTGCCCAATCCCTGGCTCTGCCGCGCTGGGACGGAGCTGGAGATCCGCAGGGAGAGGCTCTGGCCTGAAGCCGGCTCTCACGGCTCTCGCCGCTGGGGACGGGAGCCTCAGCAGGTTTGGGGCGCGCAGGAGAGGGAACAGAGGCTGACAGCAGAAACCGAGGGCTCAAAAAGAAATTCAGATCTGTTAGAGGAGGGGGAGGAACTGGCACGAAACGATTTCAGTGCAATTTTCAAGCCCATGCTGCAAAATGCGACGGCTGTAGCAGGTCGCTTCAGGACGCAGCTGCGGGAGAGCACGGCTGCTGCGGGGCACCGGCTGGAGGGACGGGCAAGGATGGGACCCCGGGCAAGGACCTGCCTGCTGGAGGGCTGAAATTCAGGCTCCATCCTCTCGCAAAACCAGCTGGGCCGCGGGTTTTGCTCTCAGCCTTCCTCTGCCCACCCCCCCTCTCGTCCCCGCCGCCGGAGCCAGAGGCTGGCAAGGGCTGAGGGGCGCGGGACAGGGGACATGCGAGCTTCTCGCGGCACAGAAGGACGAGGACCAGCTCCGAGCACCGTTCCCTCGCAGCCGCAGCCAGCCCCGGCACAGCAACCCCCGGCGGCCCCCAGCCCACCTCCGGCGCGCGGCGGGGACACGAAGCAAGCCGCCGGTTTGGTCAGTACCTTCAAGTAGGAAAAGCGTTCTCAAGTCCAGCGCTCAGGAGAGGCTCTGGGTTTGTCTTAATGCCCTCCGAGCTCCCGCACCGCAGCGCCTGGCACGTCGGGACCCTCCGCACGTCGCCCACGACCAGCCTACATCATCTTTGATTCTCCTTTTGGTCAAACCCCCAGGTCTCTCGCAGGCAGGAGCCGGGCAGCGTGCCCCCTCCGCCCCCCCCCAAACTGGCCACGTTTCACATAGTGCAAAATTCAGGAACGGAACAACGCCGCCGGCATCGAGGCGCCCGAAGACCACCCACCCGATGGGAGCCTTCGCCTCGTCCCGCAGCGGGGCTGGGACCCCCTCGTGCCACCGGCCCCGCTCCCCGGCCTCTCCTCCCAGGGAGGGCAGCCACCGCGTCTTATCCGACTTGGACTAACTGAACCGGCAGCTCCATCCACGTCCTTCGCCAGAGGCAGAGCTCGGAAGGGCTCACTCCTGGGGCGAGGAAGCTGCAACAGGTCTGCGGACAGACGGGCAGAGCAGCACGGTGGGGACCCGCAGCACCCCAGGGCTCCGAGGACCCATGACGACCCCTGGAAACTAAGTGCAGAGCACCAAAGAAATGGCAGTTTTGGTCAAGCCGTAGGAATTCACTCCCTACGGCCTTGGAAAAAAAGAAAAAGAAAGGACAGGAGGAAGGACCAGGCGCGCGAGGCAGCAGCCGCCCGCCCTCCGCAGCTAAAGGAGAAACCCCCGCGGGACCGAGAGCTTCGGGATGCGCAGCACGAGACACCCGGCACCCTGGATCTCCGAAACACCACACCCGCCGTCACGCACCGTGGCTCAGCTAGAGGTTTCCATGCATTTACTTTATTATTTTCAAGTTGACGAACAATATCGATACGACTGGGTTGAGTAAGGCTATTTTCCTCTTTTCTCCCTCCTTCTCCCCTGCACGGGAAGCTCAGACAACGCCCAGACACACGGACCCGCACACGAACCGCTTGCACGCACACGCACGCCAGAACACCGAGACACAGAAGAGGAAGAGTCGTTTATACCTGACTGGTGATGAGGTCTGTCCTATCTTATTCAAAGAAATGTTTATGTGCATAATATACAGAGGTGCAGCATTTACACATAGGATATTGTAAAGACACAGAGCTTGCTACAGATGCCTTCGAGTCCTTAGAGACGCATCCCCCTTCCCCGCCCTGCCCCTCGGGGGCTCCGACTCCATCCCATTCCAGCCTCACGCCGCAACTCCGAGGATTTTAGTTTACCTAAAGAGCCGCGATGCAGAGAGCCGCTGCAGAGACCCGGCAGGTCCCTCGCCTCGGGCGTACGTTACCCTCCGCCTCCCCGCTCCGAAGCTCCCGCCGACGCTTCGGCCCAGTCTCGGCTTTGTTGGGTTTTTTCTCCTTTCAAACGCACCCAGCTCTGCTGAGCCCAGAAAAATTCAGCCAGGAGAAGAGGTTTGAACAGCTCCTCGCGTCCTTGGAGAAAAACAAAGAAACAAAGAAAAGGAGGAAAAAAAGGAAAGAAAAAGGGAAAAAAAAAAAAAACCCGAACCAAAGAATCCGCGTGTCCGCGCCAGTATCTCGAATGGAAGGGGGTGGTTTTTCCTTTGGTTTCTTACTGAAGGCAAAGGTGAGCGTGGGCTGACAGTCTGCGCGGGTCCGACCCCGACATCGGCGGCTGGGGGGACCCCGAGGTCCCCCCGTTTGTGGTCCCTGTGGCAGGCGGGGGACGCGGGGACCCTCGGGGGCAGCTCCCCGCGCCCACCCCCGCCCCACCACACAACAGAATAAAATCAAAGAAAAAGATTGTTTCTCGGGTCGTTGCCGTTTGCTCTTTGTTTTGGTTTTTCACTTGTTTCTCGCTACCACCTCACCCGCAGCTGGGGGAGCCCGGCAGGGCCGCGGTACCTACGGAATCACCACCACGCTCAGAGTGCTCAAAACAAACAGACAGAAAAAAAACCCCTTGTTCCATTTTTTTTTGGACTTTTTGCTTTGTTTTTAGTGCTACTTCTATATCTGCCAGATTCCAGCCCCGGGCTACGGCCAAGGGGGCCGGGGGCTCCTCATCTGCATCTCGCTTTTGGTGGCGGGAGCTCCTCGCTCCGTCCGGGGCCGGGATGGGGCGGAGGGGGCCGGGAAGGGGGTGGTGGAGGGGGGAAACGTTTTCCTAAAGAAAAAACAGCTTCCAATTGCCTGCAGCTCGGGAACAGCAACAAGAAAAACACCGACCAGCTTCTCATCACCGTTAGGTTCTCTTTGAATTTCGTGGAAGTGCCCGTCGAGAAGGAAGGCAATCCCAGCCTCCCGGGCCGCCCTCCGCCAGGCCGTTACATTCAGGGTTTGTCAGCAGTTTATATGGCTCAGCGGGGCCGCAGGGCTGGCAGCCCCTTTCTCTAGCAATGGCAGTGCAAATACACCTTTGAGTTGAAATGTATTTGTGCTGTTTTGTTTTTCTCTCGCAAAACACAACTTCCCTTTGTTCATTCATTCCCTAGAAACAAACTTTTTTTTAAAATTAAAAATGAAAAAATAAACCCAAAGACACTCTCTTATCCCTTCCGCTCTTGCTGCTCTCTATCCCGTGGGATGCTAAAGGGAATCCAGACTCATGCTTTAACAAAAGTGCTTATTACTTGAAGCAAGTGCTTTGGACCAAGGGGCGGAGAGAAACTTCCTTTTTTCGGAGGTGGGGGCAGCGGAGGGGACGGGTGATCCGGTGCCTGCGCGCTCGAAACCACGAGATTTCAGTAGCAGTGAGGGGGGAAGCCGAAAAAGTCGCTGCTCGGTGAGAGCTACCCCAAGGGTGCCGGGCGCCGGACAGAACGCTAAGCGGGAATGGTCCAACTTTGGCATAAAGGTCCGCGGGAAGGGAGACGGGGGAGCCCCCGTCCGCCGCCCCCGGAGGGGCTGGGAGGGAGCAGGCGGGGCAGCGGAAGTTTCCCTCCATCCCTCTTTGCAATGCACTAGGGAAACCATCACAAATCTCGTTTAGCAAAATAATGCATTATTACCAAACACTTTGATTATTACTTAAATTGTCAAGCTGTGCTGTCAAATGTATACAATACAGCGTTAAAGGAGAACAAGACTGGTACCTGCAAGGAAACTGGCCGCACATCCCCCGTCCCACCCCACCCCATGCTTCCTCCCACGTGCTCCCAGACCATGGATGCGCTGCTGAAACCTCGTTTCCCTCCATCATTATTATTATTATTATTATTTTTAATAAGACACAAGGGGAGGGGAGAAAAAGATCCTCGCTAAGAGCAAAGAACGCACGTATATAAAGCATGGTGCTGCAGAGAAGAAATGGAGAAGCCCTTACAGAGATCACATTGATTGTCTCGTCATCGTTTTAGTCTCATGGTGAGCAGAAGGTAACACGTCGTAGCACAGAAACAAGGCCAGAAGAGATCAGTTTTCTTCTCTAAGCAAAGAAACTGAAAACCACAATAATACTCCAAAAACTAAGGAGGGGTGAAGGAAAAGCAGCATTCTCCGTGTGCTCTAAGGACCACTCTCGCCCTGGCTACAGGAAAAAGCCATTTTCAAGTGAAAGGGTGCCGGAGCCCCGTCCCCATCAGCGATGCTACAGCCACACACACGGCATCGAGGAGCGGGGCACGAGGGGCACGGCCGCGTCCCTCCCGCGGCAGGCACGGGACGGCCCGGCTCGGCTGGTGCCTCCGAGCTTTCCCCAGCTGGCTTCGGGCGAGCCGGAGCATCGCTCAAGAGGACGGAGCTGTCGCGGCCCCAGGGTCTGCCCCGCTCCGAACCCACCTCCATCCCTGGGAATCGCTGCCCACGCCGGGGACGGGAGCCAAGGCCGGGGGCGGCTCAGCCCCTCCATGTGCCTGAAAAAGTACTTTAGCCCTTGAAGACGACGGCTCAGGACTTTGGACCCATTTTCCTGCCCCGCGGGGAGGGT